GTGGTGTTAACATTTTGACAATGCACACAACCGCTTTCTGTGTGTGCCGTCCAAAGAGGTTATCCAGCAGCAACGGTCCTCCCTCTCTCTTTTTTTTTTACTCCCTTTCTCCTTATACACAGCTTTTTTAGCCATTAGCGTGTTTTCAAAGAGTTGTGAGGCTGCAGACCGCAGCTTTTAGCCCTGAAAACCACTCCAAATGTATATGGAAAAATAAAGAAATATAGAAATTAGCCGGCAAAGGGAAGGTGCGCTCGTCATTCTGTGAGCGACTTCTCTTAATTGCGACGGCGTTATCCAACGAGACCAAGGGTCAAAGGTATTTGGTGCTCTCCACTTGGAGAAAAGGTGAAGTATTCTTTACCTATCTCTTTGATTGTTGCCAGTGCTTTATGCCTCCTGAATTATGTTTCTCATTAGCCGATTCTTCTGCATTTTTACCGAATTTCAGCTTGTATTATCCACGAACACATACATACTACCTCCTACATTAGGCGGAAAGCAGTTTGATAAAATCAGTTTTTTTTTTTTGTTAAGTATACGATCCTCCCTCTATCTCCGACTTATTTATTAATCCCCCTCCCCCTCTTCGCCGAGAACCCCCATTTCAAGGTTTCACATCGACAAACTTCCTTGTGCTGTGTGCACGGCGCAGAAGATGCAAGGTCAGCATCGCTGCGCCTTCACTGCTGACTCTCCCATTGTATTCACGGCAGTTGAGAAAGCCGTAAGGAAAGACGTGTGCGCAGGTGCAGTCTAGCCCGGTCGTGCATGATGATAGTGAATGAGGGGGGAAGTGGCTAGGTGGCGCTAGTCACCACCCGGCGGAAGCGCTTAGGCCGCCGGTGCATCCAGTGTCTGCAAAATGCGCTGCTGCCGCTGCACGGGACAGTTTTCGCAGCCGCCACTATCCTAGCTGCCTGCGACGCCTACGCTGCTGATTTCTTTGTGTAGTGACTTCGCGCATAGCGTGCACAGCTCGGGTACATCAAAAGAGTTGACTGTTGGGCGAGTTGGCGCTTTGATATAGAAACCATCATTTCATCTTCAGGCTGTGCTTGTGTGCGTTAATAATGGTGTAGCCATTGCTGGTTCGCTGACTGATGACATATTATCAGAAGTGCTTGAAGAGGATCAAAACCACTGTTCTGATGATGCCATTCAAGATGAGCCGACGTTACATAGCACCGCGCAAGAGGCCGCCGAAGCTTTCGCTGTCCTCGCGGAGTTCTGCATCACTTCTCGCGACAGTGAGCATACACACCACCACCACATAGGGTTGAAGAAGATCGTTCTAGCACTTATTCCAATGACAAGGCAGACTAAGTTGACGCAGTTTTTTTCATGAAATAAAGGTTTGTCTGTGCCAATACATTTTCCTTTTGTTTTGATGGTTCATTCGACGTTCCGGAATTCGGGTAATTCGGACATTTTCACAAGTCCCGTGAAATCCGGGTTAACGAGCTCTTACTGTATTACGCACTTTGGACAGCATCTGCAGTGGTACTGTGCTTATTGATGATGATGGCGCATTTGTACTTGTAATCGCATTTGTACTTGTTAACGCGCACTGGGGTTCAGTGCCTCAGTATAACCAGACAACCGACGGTTCTCGTGTTGGTGCCACAACTTTCCCCGTGAAATCACGGCGATAACAGCGATGAGACGAGCGCTAGCAAGTACTATGAATGAACCAAATTACAACATGATTGAGCTACACTGGATATGGATGCGGCTGCTTGCTCAGTGTTGCTCGTTCGACAATAATAACTGGCAAGGTTTGGCAGTATTGCACTTCCAATCGACAATTATCTCAGAAATAGCAATTTATGCGTGGTGTGGTGCAGAATGGTGCAATTGGCGCAGCACTTCCACCCCTGGTTATCAACTGTCTATCCTGTACTTGAAAACAAAATTTCTGAAAATTTACTGCGTGAATTGGCCCACCTCAAATTTGCAGCCCGATTTTTTAAGAAAAAGTGCACCTATTATGCAAGTAAATATAGTATTTACATATTTTTCCACTGTTTCATTTGGTCGGCATGTGCTGCGAACACGGTCCAGAATGCACACCTACAGAGCCATACTATAGATGGAGCTATTTGTTCGCTAGTTCATTGCACTCATCCTTCTGCTGATTGTGGGTACTTGTAGGCTGGCAGCACATAATAATGCACGTCTTTGTGGCATTTGAAATCAAAGAGCACAATATTTTAAAAAGACAAGTCAATGAATGCACACCACGGTGTAGGAATATTTAGGTGTTGACACTGCGCACGGCGGCGCAGCCAGATTTTGTTCGGCAATCCATGCGCTTCGCTCGAACGCCGGCAGACTGCTCCGCGCCACAGGGGCCTTTCTGGTCGGAACGTTGCGGCTGCTGAAGTGCAGATGTTGCGGGATCGTTCGATGTTGTGCTGTGTAAGTTAAGTTTTTTTTAATTGCAGCAAGGCACACCACGATTGAAACTGCTGTCGACATTAAATCATTTTCGGTTACTGCCATTTCTACTTGCTGAAAGTGCGGTAGTGCGCGGAAGAGCAGCGAGGACGCGGCCGGCGACCCTTCTAAGTTTGTCGTGAAAATAAGTTTATTGCAAATTATTTTGGTGTCCAAAAACGCTGCAAGATCCCAGGAGCTTCTGGTCGACAGCTAGGAACGCCACTTGGCAACTAAATAACGTTTCTTATCTCCCCCTCTTTTCGTTCATGCGCACGACTCCCGAGAGCATAGCATAGCTAAGCTACTTCACCGCATCCTAAAATAAAGTGACCTAAACCCGCATGCTCGCCAATTCTGGCAGAGAGCCTATGCGTATCATGAAATGTTGCCTGAGCAGTGTAATGTCCGCCCTGTAGAGAATATGGCAATATTAGCCCGACTTACTGGGGCTCTTCAGCTACATTTCGTATTTCAAATGCATCAAAAATACTCCCTCCACCGCTCTACGCGCGATTGCCCGGTCCAAAACGAAATCAAGGCTACTTTTATGATGTTTACATGGCTAGGACAGTGCATTGATAGCTACACGGCAAGAAAATTGTCGATGAAAATGTTCTTCCTGTCAAGTTCGTCATTTGTGCTGATATCGGCGCTGCGGAGTAGTTGTCTATCTCAGATATGTCCGCGCAGATATCATAAACTTACGCGACTGTACATTAGGATTGGCGGATGTCAGTTGAGAATAATTGAAGTCTGCCTGGTAAAGCAGCTTGGTGAACCACAAAATTCCCCACTGAACATTACAGGGTGGGGTAAATTATACAACTTTACTAACATATTCCTTTTCCTTTTTTTTCTTTTTTTTTCCTTTCTAGGGGGCTTTCTTGAAGTTGCCTACTTTGTTAGATATTTGAGGCATCCCGGAAAAATGCTAGATACAGCATTCGCCGATAGCACTGGTCTCTTCTTGGGTACATTTAAAAGCACCTGGCCATCGAACTCAGCATAGTATGATTTCGATATCTCCTGCTCAGGAAAATGCTTCGCACAGACGCAGTTGCTCGGTTGCATTATCCTATCTGCTCTAGGTATGGCCCGGCGCTAAAGTTCAAGGCGAGCAGGCTCCGATGGAGCTTTGAAAAGCGGCACATGATCAACACAGCCCGATCTGCAGTTGGGTACGAAGCACTTCTTACCCATTACTGCGTCCTAGTCGACCTCTGAGCCAGGCTAGATTTCGCAAGCGTGTCACTTCAACACCGTGCACTGCAACAACAAACACATCACAGCTACCAAGCACACAGGTCGCGACATTCACGCACTGCGTCGGACAGCTCCACTACGCGAGCTTGCATAACGATCATTGCGGCTGGTCCCAAACCACGACACAAAAGGCTATGCACGGCGCCGGCCGCCCAGCTGAAACATAAACGTCTAGTCCTTGTTGAGCACACTGCAGCAGAGAACACTGAAAAACAGCTTTAACGGACATGGAAAGGCAAGCACGGCGTGTAACCACCGTAGCAGTGCATGTCACTTCGCAAGCGATTGCCGCCCCTTATTCGCAGCGCCCCGCGCCGCTGCGGACAACGCATGTACTAAAAGGGCGAACAAGATCTGGCTGCACTCTCCGCCGCAGCGCTCGGTCAGTGTCAACACCTAAATATTCTTACACCGTGATGCACGTGTATAACATTCAAGAAAACCAGTATGACAACACTAAATCAGCGCCATGTATTAAGGCCACAAGGCATTATAAGACAATCAGTGTGTATTAAAACAGCAGTAATCAAGACGCTCTTCTGCTATACAGTGGGAACGTGAAATCAGTATTTTTGTTTGGTTCGAGGCGCACCACTCCTGTGTAGGTCCATGTCTTATTCATTCAAAAAAAAAAAAAGCTATGAAATGTGCTGTGAAAGGTGTAAAGATACATGTGGCTTAAGAAATGAGCTGAGAAATGCAGCACAGCACTGCACAGGTTGCACACACCGCACGTGGTTTCGATATCTGACGCGTGTTATATAAATGCAGTGGGAAATACAAGGCAGACATGTTACTGCGCAAGCTCATCTGAGACCTTTGAGAGTTGCACCTCTTCTGGAACGAACATTTCTTTGGAACGCCAACCTCAGATCGGAAGCTCACACCACCAGACAACAAAAGTTCAAGTTAGTGAAGCAATACGCATCATGCAGCCACCGTCTGGATGAATTTCGAAAGGCGCAGGGCTCCGATATCGCATTCTCATCAATATGTGGCAGCACAGCAAGATTCTTCGACCGTTCAGTACTGAATCGTGAAAGAAAAGGAAGTATTGTTCGTAGTTCGGAAGCTACGCATACGACAGTGACGCAGCCTCTACTAATAGAGATGTTAGCAAACAATTTCACAATCATGTCCAACAAAAAATAACAGACACTCCCAGTGTTGCCACGGTTGATTAAACATTACGAATGTTCCTCATTCAGGCACCCTTCCTACAGGTTCCTACAAGTACTCAAAGAAATTCAGTTATTGCAATGTGGCACGTTTTGATGACAGCCGCTTAGCCTCACCTGGTAGTCCAGCAGGAGCAGGATGGTGCAACGGACGTTCTTGTCCCCCGGCCGCTTCACCTGGAAGCCGTCTGTCTCGGTGGTGGTGGGTGTGCGGTGCCACTCGACCAGGTGGTTATCCGGCCCGTACAGCTCTTTGTCCAGCTCGATGACCAGGCTCTTGAAAAAGGAGGAGAACTTGCGTTTGGCACTCCTCGACTCGCCCTTGGGCTGCTCCTCGAGCAGCCGGCCCTCGACCCGCAACTCCCACGAGGGCACGGTGCCACCTTCCTCCTCCAGCTCCACACCACACAGCTTGCCCGGGTAGAATGTGTTCGAGATGAAGATGCGCAACTTGCGCTTTTGCTGCACACCCACAAAGAAACTCATTTGCAAGCACCTTCAATGTCCACAGCTTCGCAGCATCCAAATTTCCAATTATGGAACACGTTAAACCAGTACGAAAGAGCAAGTTGAACTTGGATGTACACTCCTCATCCAAGCACACCACACAAATAGAGAATGCCGATTCAACCAGGATAATCACGTTTTAGCAAATTGAATATATTGTCACGGGCTAAGTAGAGTACCCGATAGTGATTAGGTTGCTGCCCCAATTTCTGACGTGGCCATGACACGTAATGTTGCACTCCCCAACACGGTGGTTACTGTTAAGGACAACCTAACTTCATTTCCCGTCCTCAATTTTGGCTTCTCAGCGCAGGTTATTCCTTGCGGCATGTCACTTGCGCATCTGACACCACTGGTTGACCACACAGTTTCTGCCCTAACCACCGATTCACCACCCGATTTTTCATCAACGTCACTCTCGTCACGTTCCTGTTCCGACCTTTTCAAGCCAATACTATCTGACAAGCTCACCTCTGAACAAGTCTCTGCTCTCTGCCGTGTGCTTGCTTCTTATCGGAAGATCTTTGACTTCGGCGACCGTAAAATTGGACCGTAATTTGATAACCCATCGCATCGACACAGGTGACGCTCGACCCATTCGTTGACGGCCCTACCGTGTGCCAGCCCCGGAGCGTGCTATTATACAGCGAGAAGTCGATAAAATGCTTCATAAGGGCATAATCGAACCCTCATCTAGTTCCTAGTCCTCACCCGTTGTACTTGTTAAAAAGAAGGACAATAGTTGGAGATTCTGTGTTGATTACCGCCATCTCAACCATATTACCAACAAAGATGTCTATCCCCTACCGCACATAGATGATGCACTCGATTGCTTACACGGTGCCAAATATTTCTCTTCCATAGACCTTCGCTCAGGCTACTGGCAGATCGCTGTGGACGACAAAGACAGAGAGAAGACGGCCTTCGTGACTCCTGATGGACTATCAGTTCAAGATGATGCCTTTTGGATTATGCAATGCCCCCGCCACTTTTGAGCGCATGATAAACTCTCTCCGAGGCATGAAGTGGACCATCTGCCTCTGCTATCTTGACGACGTTAATGTTCTTTCGACTACTTTCGACGACCATCTTACCCGTCTGTCCACAGTGCTTGATGTTTTCCGACGTGCCAACTTGCAACTTAACTCGTCCAAATGTCGCTTTGGGCAACGCCAAATGTGCGTACTTCGGCCATCTTGTTGACGCTGCGGGCGTTCAACCAGACCCTGCGAAAGTCCGAGCAGTTCGCGACTTCCCTACACCCCGCTCAGCCAAGGACGTCCAAAGTTTTCTGGGACTGTGCTCCAATTTTCGTCGTTTTGTCGAGAAGTTTGCTGAAGTAGCCCGTCCTCTAACCTGCCTTCTCAAAACGGATGTCACATTCACCTGGGGCCAACAGCAAGCAAACGCTTTCTCGTCGCTCGTTGACATTCTCACCAATCCACCACTTCTAGCACACTTCGACCCATCTGCTGCCACGGAGCTTCGTACTGACGCCAGTGGCCACGGCATAGGCGCAGTGCTGGCGCAGCGGCAACAAGGAATGCACCGCGTCGTCGCGTACGCAAGCCGACTGTTGTCGCGCTCGGAACAAAATTATTCGATCACAGAACGCGAGTGCTTAGCTCTCGTCTGGGCAATTGTGAAAATCCGACCGTACCTTTATGGCCGACCATTCTCAGTTATTACGGACCACCATGCACTTTGCTAGCTCTCCTCACTCAAGGACCCTACGGGACGACTTGGTCGCTGGGCGCTGCGCGCTTACAAGAGTACACTTTTTCTGTATCCTATAAATCCGGACATCTTCACAAGGATGCCGACTGCTTGTCCCGTTACCCAGTCGATCCCCCTGACACGATGAAAGATGGACAAGAGGTCCTTGTTCTTTCAATCACGGACTTCACCGACATAGCTGCTGAACAATGCCGCGACCCCTCTTTGTGTGCTATTATCAATGGTCTGCACTCCCCCCACCCTGGCCACTCCTTACAACTGTTCCTTTTTCACAACGACATCTTGCCCCGCTACAACGCCCGCCCAGATGGTGCTGAGCTTTTACTCGTTGTTCCTGTGCATCTTCGCTCAGACGTTTTGGACCAGGTCCATGATGCCCCCTCCGCTGGACACCTAGGGGTGCCACGCACGTATGACCGCGTTCGCCGCCGATTCTTTTGGCCTGGCCTCTACCGTTCTGTGCAACAGTACGTTGCGGCATGCGACCTCTGCCAGCGCCGCAAGACACCTGCTCTGGGACCTGCTGGTACCCTCCAGCCCATTAAAGTACCAGATGAGCCATTTTTCCGAGTCGGCCTCGATCTTCTAGGACCTTTTCCCGTGTCGGCCACTGGTAATAAGTGGATTGCTATTGCTACCGACTACGCAACGCGGTGTAGCCGATTTCTTTCTTCATGACATCATTCTGCGTCATGGTGCTCGTCAGTTGATCACCGACCGCGGCCGCTGTTTTCTATCTAAAGTAGTTGACGAGCTCCTGCGATCCTGCTCTACCCACCACAAGTTCACTACAGCGTACCACCCACAAACCAACGGCCTCACGGAACGCCTCAACCGTACCCTGACGAATATGTTAGCGATGTACATCTCCAAGGATCACAAAGATTGGGACATCCACTTACCTTTCGTTACCTTGGCATACAACAGTTCATGTCACGATACAGCTGGATTGTCACCTTTTTACCGACTGTTTGGTTATGACCCGCCTTTGCCCAGGGACACCATGCTCCAATCTGACGCCCCCTCATCGACTGCTTATGCTCTTGATGACCTGGCCCGAGCTGACATCGCCCGCCAAGTCGCCCGGGACCGGTTATGTGCCTTGCAGCTTAACCAAAAGAGTGCTTACGATCGCCAGCACCGCGACATACAGTACTCGCCGGGGTCGCTCGTCTTGCTGTGGTTACAATCGCGATGTGTTGGTCTCTGCGAAAAACTGATGTATCGTTACGTTGGCCCCTACCGCGTCATACGCAAGGTCACCAACGCGACCTATGAGACAGCTCCACTCCATACCACGTCAGTACCAGCTTCAGTCCCGACCGATATAGTGCACGTCTCAGGGCTTAAAGCATACTACTCACGCCCCGAGAATTGATCGCACCGGGACGGTGCATCTGCCACCGGCGGGTAATGTCACGGGCTAAGTAGATGCCTGAGGATGACGACGACAAAGTGCTGTGGGGGAACGTGCTCGGACTGCAGCAGCGTTGTACACATTTGCTCGCCAGTATATTCATTGTGTATACTTTATTCCCCGTAACATCATTTTAGTAAGCATAACATTAAAACAACAAGCATGCTTGTCACTACGGAGGGTCCTGCCCCATAGCTATCAATCTCAGTCTTGACGGAATAATGCACTTAATAGCCATTGCATAGGGCATACTCACTCAAAGTACTCTTTCCCAAGGTTACAGCATTCAACTGATGCATGCCTGCCAAGTTCAAGGATTTTGAATACGGGAGATTTCCACAATGGAAGAAAAAAAGAACTGAATATACAGAGCAAAAAAGAAGGGCAGAGGCGGGGGGGAGGGGGGTCTATTTCTGTCGGAACAACTCGCGTATGTCTTCCCGAGACTCCTAATGTTATGACTAATGCATAAAAGCGAGGCTTGCTGAGACACATACCATCAAGGTATTTCGCTACGCTGATGATTTTTTAGTCTTTTATATTGTAGAACAGGTTGATACAAGGCAGCACGCCAACGAGATTTTTAGCATTTTTACTGAGAGCATGACTGATCTGCAGCTGACGACGGAGTTTCCTGAGAATAACAAACTTATATTTTTTTAGACCTAGAGCTTATGTTTCTGCCGCGTACGTGTCAGGGCGAACAAGTCCTACGGACGCGAATCACATCGGCTCCGGCTCAGGTCCATTTTCAAGAAGAATTTCTTTCTGGCGACCTGTTACAATTAAGGGGGCTTGTTCCTAGCATCACCACTGTCAAGCCTATACCGGACTTCAATCTGTGAGTGCGCTTTTAAATGTCTTAACGCTTTCAATATTTTTAAGCGAGGTCCGCCTCGCTAACCCTAACAAGCCGAGAACGTGGCTTGGACAGAACGCCGCCCCGCTCTACAGTGCATGGCGAGCGTCCCAGCCGATGAGAAGCACTCATTGCCCTCTCGCTCCATGGACCACATGATGGATACGCAGACCAGCCAAGACGCCGATACGCAGGCTAGAAATGAGCCCAACGCACATCCATGGATCACTATTACAGAGAAAGCGAACAAACGCCGACAGCTGCAACCCCATACCGTACCGACTCAACAGCTGCCCAGCACGCCATCTGAGCCCACTCTACGCCAGAGTCGGCCTAAGACGCATCTACCAAGACTCCCACCGCTCGCTGCCAAGGACTACAAGCTAGCAATCCGTCCCAATGATGGATTAAATCTGAGCAAAGTTAGCCTAGCTCGTGCAGCAAATATACGCAGTGAGAAGCCTGACATCAAGCTTTGTGTTGACGAAAACCAAAATGTGCTAACAATAAGCACCTCATCTGAACACATCGCCACTGCAGTTGGACAAATCACCAAAATTACAGTGCATGCAGCAACCTACGACATCACCTCTTATGGTATTGCGCCTGATAATTCGTGCAAAGGTGTGGTCAACGGAATAGGCCATAAAGTCACACCAGACAACTTCCGGGCAGAAGTTGAAGTACCGGGCTACGAGGTCCTTACGTGCAGACGCCTCGGCGACTCCAGAGCGATGGTACTCACATTTCGTGGCAAGCGGGTCCCTTTCTTCGTCAATGCGTACGGACAGGCTTTTCGGTGCTACCTCTACAAACGGACTACTCACCACTGTAGAAAGTGCAACAAAACAGGACACCATGAAGATGTGCACCCACAGCCTCCTGACACACAGAAATATCGAGTGTGCGGGGATTCACTATCACCTAACAACCACGAGTGCA